AAATAATATTGAAATTGACTATTTTAAAACTAAATAAATGTTAAAAATAAATAATAAAACTAATAATCTGGGGTGCTAACTCTGCTACGAGTTTCATCAAAGTTGGATGAGTAAATAGGGGTAATAATAGGTGCGAATGGTCCAAACATTTCATCTAATTCATCCTCAGTCCAATCACGTGTTTGAGGATTCTTAATTGGTTTCAACAATTCAACTGCTGCAAGACGTGCTTCATCATCTTGTTGTACCTTTTCGGGTATATCCCAAAATACTTTATTAATTAAAGTTTCGGGTACCGTTTCAGAATGTATTTGTCCAAGATTATAGCCAACGATACATTCATGATCTAAGTTGGTAGTAATGATCATTCCACAAAGAGTACAATTGACAGAATACTTTTGAGCAAATTCTTCAAGTTTGCTTCCATTCATGCGTTTGATGGCAGTTTGCCTAAATTCAGCAGCTTTCAAAAATATATCATGCAAGTCCTGTCTTCAATCTTATCCTCTTCCATCAAGAATTGATTCCATTTCTTCTTCGCTGAAGTTGAATTCTGATTCACTATTGTCTTCTAATTGTTCAGGTGATTGTTCATTTTCTGCTTCCGCTTCATAAGCTGTTATATTTAAATATTCATAATATTTATGTTCATTACAATTACAAATAGTTTGTTCTGTTGGTGAGAATATATAGTTTCCATATGGATTGGCACATTGATAACATTTAGTGCAATACCAATGAGAATGATGGTCATTTTCATTGCAACTGTAGTTGTTTTTTTGATACTTTTTGTTATTATGCAATCCATTCCATTGCCATTTTATTTGGCATCTAGGAATATCTAATGCAGAAAAATGTACTTGAATCCATCGATTATTTTCTTCTAAGTCCTCTTCATATTCAGGTGATAAAATATTCCCATAGATTTCTTTTTCTGTATTTGCAAAATTTTCTTCACTAGCAGTTAAGAGTGTGAAGCATTCGATTAATTCATCTGAGCTTTCATCATTTTCATAGTTGATTCTTGATAATGCGTCAGCGTTTGCATTATTTTTTTCAGATCGATGCTGAACTTGAAATGTATATTGTTGTAAATTTAACAACCATCTTGCTCTTTTAGTTCTATTCTTTACAGTAGAAGTTTGTAGCCATTTCAAAGCAGCGTTATCAGTCACTAAAATAAAAGGTTTAAGCGAAGTGAA